GTAGAGTTGTTTCTGATTACATGTCTTTTATTCTTCTTAAACCTTTTGTGTATATAGATTATTTATATGAAATACTTGTAATATTACCTTGACTCTCGTAGGCATAGCTTAAAATAATAGCAAAGTAGCCGATTATTTCAAACATTTTTACCTCTCACAATATTATTTCTCAGATCCAGCGTTAAACTTTCTTCTATTTTTACAGATAATATAAGTTATTTGAAGAATAGTGACATAGAAAAAAGTACCTCATAAATTTTGGAACATAGTTATAGGTTTAATGATAAAAAAATCCACCTAAATATTTGTTAAGACTCTTAGCATGTAAGCTGACTCTTAGACCTTGAATACCAAATAACTATTCATCTCAGCTAAAACAAAACTAAACAAATTTGAAAATTCAACAAGAAAACTTGTACACCTTGATGAAGTGACTTTAATTTTTACTTTTGTCAATTTTTCGAATTAATCGTGTAATTCTAGGACTGGGATATTTAAACGAGAACTAAAAGTATCCTTTGCTGCCTGTCAAGAGTAAAAAATATAATGAACATAATTTGTTGCATGTACGACCTGGGCGAGTCAAATAGAAAAAAAACTTTTATCCACAAATAATTTTTCCGTACCGATATGAATCTCTTTTGTTACTTAAATCCTTCGAAAAGATAGTTTTTTAATAACGCCCATTCATCACGTTGAATTTATTCAAGCCTGGTTCACCTGCAGCACCGCTCATTCTTGACACTTGCTATATTATAGCTGTTCCAGATACGTCGCAGATTAATATTCAATTGAATGAAAACTCGGCTTCTCACTTCTCTTTTAATACGGAAAAATTTGATGACTCCTACGAAACATTGAAGATTTTTCTCAGTAGCGCCATTAATGAAAGCATAAGTGAGTTCATGCAGATGCTGTATTTGACAAGAAAATTTTTTTAGCGTTTATAAAAAAAGACTTCTACAAAACATTTTTTTTTAATTTCTCTCAACTCTAAAAGATGTAATCGAACTTTTTTTTATTAACTGTAATTTAATTTTTCATTAAATAAAAAAAAAATTAATATATCAATGAAAGATGGAATTAATTGGCAGCATTTTTTTCATCTAGTAAGTAAAAAATAACAAATAATCCTGGGTAATCAGTTTTATGAAGGCTAATAAATATTACATACCCGAGATTGCNGTGAAAACACTTTATTTATAATTTTTAATGAAAAAACAGTCAAAGTAGACTAAATTAAAAAAATTATTTAGTCAAGTATTTTTTAGGAATTGCACATCAATCCCATACATTCGTAATATTATCTTCATTGCCTACTAGTATCTAAGAACTCAACTATTTGCTATCCTATATCTATTTAAGAGCATATACTGGTTTGAAAGCTTCAGCAACAAAAACTTTATGCTCTGTAAACTACTTTTTTTCTTAGAATGTTCCTCTATACCACATATTCTTAGTGATAGCACATTAAGTACGCCTTTTGCAAAAAAAAACCGATCGTGAATACAACAAGTTCTACTTTGAATATTATGTCAAATGCAGTGTAAAATTTGGATGAAAAGCTTACAAAAAGCCCGAAAAGTAAAAGAAGTCTTGTGTTGTTGACTCAGTACAGCTTCGTAAAAGTATCGGTTAGCTGGTATCGAAAAACGAACACGTAGAAGAAGGAGGAGGTAGCTGCGATTGCAATTAACGAAGACTGCTCTGTACGCCTCATTACATCGGATTTCGATTTAGTTTTCCTTAGCTCCGTTGCTCATCGTTCTTCAGATGTTCGACTTATACTCAAATGTTGGACTACTTCTGATTTCTCTTAAATTAGAATTTCAGGCAATTTATAACTTTTCTTGACTTTTTTTTTTTTTTTTTTTTTTTTGTTAACTTTTCTTCATTTTTCCAGATTGACAAGTCAATTCCTATGGCAATAATGTTATGCTCCCTGAGTAGGAAAAACAGGGTTGGCATCCGGTGAACATCCATTTAGGGCCAACGCAAAGAGTTTTACATGGGCCACCAGGTAAAAAAAGTACTATTTTACTTATTATGGACAAAAGTTGAAGTCATGAGATAAAAGCTTAATGAAGTCCATAGATCCTGGAAAAATCATATTTTCGTTGTTTTTCTCTACATTGTAATCTAAACGGTCTTAATGATGAAAATCATTTGCACTGGAAAATAAATGATGTTACGAGGTCTAAGTTTTTGTATTTAACATTTCTGAGCAGAATATCAGCTACAAAAGTCTTGAGAAAAAATCAATTGTGTTGTGCACATTTTCGCATCAAAGTCTCCAACACGAAACTTTCAGCTTTTAAAAAAATTCAAGAGTTTCAAGTAAAACATAATGTAGAATATAATTAAACTCTTTTTTGATCTGATGACAAATGCATCAGTCATCGCGAAAGCGTACAGTCTTTTTCATAAATTTGTTTTAAAAAAAAGAGCCGTCCATTAATCACGACAAAATATTCATACTCCGATTTGTACTAATGGCAAGCAGTAATTCCCCACAACTGTGAATCCACTTTCTCACTCGGATACATCCGTCCAGATAAGAAGCATCGCAGGTTCCTTTCCGCCATTATCAGATCTTCGGTCGCTTATGAGTTATGATACTATGAATTATTCATACCTTGGGAGATGGTAAGCATTAAATCAAAGCTTTTTATCGGAAAAGTAAAAAAAAGAAAAAACGGGTACGAAAACGCGTGTAAACACAAATTGAATAACATTGCACTGGATAAGCGACAAAAGAGCCGGCGATGAAAATTTGAATTACGTCAAGATTTACGAGCTCCGAGGTATTGTGATTATCGTGACCCTCGAGAAATCTCAAAGCGAGTTTTACTTTTTGTGGATATATTTTTTCTTCGATCTATCATTATTCCAAAAATATTTTGGTGAACAGTTTTGACAACGAAGATTATTAACTTTCAAATGCTAGTATTCTAGAGGGCGGTCGCAAATTTTTCACTCGTGTGAGTCAAATATTTTAAAGTACACTGCGCTTGATGGATCAGGTATTCTTATATCCTTTATAATATTTAAAGTAAATGTTTGTGCGTAACGATTTATCAACTTAATCATTTTCAACAACCATTTTCCGTGTTAATCCGGGGTGACGATAAAATGATTACTGTACATCTCGATGGCACGGCGAGCCCAAATAAAGCAGAAGCTAACAAGTAAGTGTAAGGCCATTCGAGTCGACTTAACTACAGCCACTTTGGTGAACTTACCAAGCAAGAGAGAGGAGTAGAACAACTCGCTCCCCTTTCGTTCGTCTCGACTTCTGCAACAAACTTACGCTAACAAAACACTTTTGCTTGATCACAATGGTGCATTATGCGCGTACAAACAGGCGTCTCTCTCTGGATCGTTAGGCTGCGAACTGCATCAGCCGGAGCGACGAATAAAGAAGTTCAGCTACACGGAACGTGAGAATAATGGTCAAACGGAGTGGATAATATTCACAATCACACATTTACGGATACCCAAGACAAAGCTTTTTTCACTTCGATCCAGGGTGCGTGCACGATTTTCTATGCCCCGGTGCTTGGAAAAGATAAAATATTTTCGTCCAAGCAACAGATGCCCTTTTCATGAATTTTATGAGAATTTACGATATCCTGTATAAAGTGACGGTTAAAAATGGCCTTTGGCACTGAAAAACCATTCAATATCTTGTAAAAAAAAAAAAAAAAGAATACACCCCATTCATTAGATATGTATTTTGTTACATTTCATAAGAGATCTATCGCTAACGTTGTTCGTGCAAGGAGATTGGATGAAAATAGCTCCGCAGAGCCTTCATAAAACAAGCTAATTAGACATGTTATATAAAGTTGTCGGCTCCCACTATTGTTGATGAGTAATTAGAGGTATCAGCGAGCAACGTTGAACATAAATACGGGATGGACTGGGAACTCATGAATAGAGCTACATCGGCATTTTGAGATGAAACATACGGATACTTGCTCGATGATGGTAAGAATGACGTGCACTAGCTTTACGTTGCTTGGTTTGGTAAAATTTCATTTTTTATTAGTTATAATCAACTGATATTAGCTTCTGTGCCATTTCAAGTTGTAGTGATCATGACTTATGTTGTTATTCGTGTTGCGTCTTGTGCAAGTTAAAATCAAAAATCGCGAATCTATTATTAACACGTTCTCTAATACTATCTTTGGTTTAACTATCTGACTAGCCAGATTCGGCATTTCACGCAATCGGTATAAATATATATTTATTTCTGATGATATACGTTTCGATAAGTATAGTTTTTTTTAATTCACAAATAATATTGATCGATGGCAATTTTTTTTTTTTTCCTTTCGTAGTACATATATTTTATAAAATTCATTAATTTTATCAATTTTTTTAAAAAGTATTGTTGGATCACCGATTTTACAGCTTTAATTCCCGTGCAGCCCTAAATCTTCCACACGTAAAAAAAAAACAAAACAAGAATCGAATAAACAGTTGCCAATGACGACTACCAAGAGAAAAGACGAGAAAAAAAAGTAGCTCATCACCCACGCGCTCATTAGTTCACCCACCCACGTTAAACGGAGCAATCTTCCAAGATCCTCCCCCGTACCCACTCGCTCGTCATCGTTATCATTAAAAGCCCGTCCCATCGCAACAAGATGCTATTCCTCGACAACCAATCTACCTGGCGAACTCGAAAGCACGAAAATCACCCCCAACCCCCTCTGGCCCGATTCCCTCTCGTCCCTCCTCCCCGAGCTTATCGGCTGGAGAGCATAAAAGAAAGCACGGAGGAGGAGGAGAATAAAAAAAGAGCAATGGCAGAAGGGATGCACCCAGAGATGAAATCGCGCGCTGCAGATCGCAAGGGGTGGTCGGACGCAGGAGGGGGGGCGGGGGGTTTAGGCCAAGGCGTGCGCGCCACCACCACCACCTTCGTTGTATACCGAGGCGGGGTGGGCAGCCTCTCGAGCTTTCAGTCTCGGCCCGGCAGTACGGCGCGTCGCACGTGCGCCCCCGTAAATTCCAATATCGTCGCACGTCTATTTCCATCCCCCTCGGCTAATCCTCATCTACTCACCCTCGATTTTACTCGTTACAACCGTGCCTCCACTGGATGTGCAGAGGCGTGTCTTTTTGTTACGGAGCGTTTCAAGTTGAGTTGCCGAGAGGCGCGTGCGTTTGAAACCCGCGGCTACGGATTGTGGTGCCGATCAGTGGTTTAAATCCGAGTTTTCCACGATTGCGAGGGACGGGGGTGATCTTGTTCGAATAGGATGTCGATGCATAATAGTGTCTGCGTTTGTGCCGGATAAATAAACGCGTGTGGCGGTGTGTGGTGCTGTGTTTACCTTTGCGACAGATACACTGTTTTTTTTTTTAAACTCGCCGGCTGTCGCTTGCGGGGCAAACATTTGCTCCGGCCGCTTTTCGGCTCCGTGTGGGAGAGCCAGTGTCGAGGAAGATACGTACATCCGCGTGTTGTGTAGTAAGAAAAAAAAAAAAAAAAAGTAGTGTGTGGTTTGCGATCGAGTGCCAGATTGCTGACGATTGTTGGTGTTGTCGTCGAGTAGAACGGGTGAGTGGGGAGTCCGGGGGAATTGGAGTTTGTTGGTTCCGCGTCGGGAGGATTGTACGCTTTGCAGAGGTTTTCTGTTAGTCCTGGGAATTAATTTTTGTTCCGAGGTACCAACGATAGTTCTTTCGCATGTTCCACCATGGGTTTTGGATCGTTGAATCAAAATCTGTAGATGTGAGTTTAATTTTTTTTCTTTTTTTTTATTCAAATTCACGCTGAAAGAACTCTCTTGACATTTAAAAGAATAATAAACTGTAAATTCCAACTAATTATGACTACAGTCTAATCCACTGAAGCAACATTTTTTATTGAATGTACTTTTAGAGATGTCTATGAAGCTTAAATGATGAAGAAAGATTTCAAATTTTTGTTACAATAAATTGTTGGAGTGCTCTTTCCTTGGAAGTTCTTTCCATTGCCACAGTTATTTTTTGTAAATCTGACTCGCGACTTTAATGACGATGAATCAATTGTGCCGTCGTTACTGCAAGTCTGTTTATTATTTTACCCTCTAATTAAGCCTCCGACCTTTCAACGAAATCGGATGAAATCCTTCCCCTCCGGCGCAATGCGGTAACTCTTAAGATCAATGGACGCTTGTACTAATTAAATATGTGACACTTGAAAAAAAAAATGATACCAATTCTCTTTCATGAAACATAATTTTTTTACTCTCAGTGTATCCGTAGTTTAGCTGACCATACCACTGTTGCTTTGCGCACTGTGCTAAAACTGAGGGCTATTAAAGTCTATAGTCACTGAGAGTAAAAAATTTTACTTGTCAATTTAAACTGATCATTTTAAATGATAAGATCAAACTCCTAATCACCACAATCGTGTAAAACTGTTGTTTCTTTTTGCTTTTAGACCAGACCGCCCGCAAACATCGCCCATCATCTCCAGAGACCTTCTACTCGGTGAAAGAAAAAGAAAAGGAAGGAGAAGAAAAAAAAAAAAAAAACAGCACACAACAAAAAATCGAATAGTGCATTGTGAAGTTTAAGTGCCAGAAGACGAATAAATAAAGAGCAGAAGCTGTGACGAGAAACTGCGCGCGCGTGCGGCAAAAGTTCTCCCTCGGAGCCGTCGCTCAAACAATCCGTGTAACCCACGCACTCATACACGGTACAGCCAAGTGCAAAAGCACACCTCAGCCACGCCACAAGGGATTGAATAGCGTGAATAGCGTGGCATTGTTTGCTCGTGCAGCTGACGTTTACGAATTGACGTCTCCCGGATCAAAGTACGCGCGCGTGCCCGTATACCACGCGTCGATCTCAAAGGCGGTGCAACCGGAGCTACGATGAAGCTGCGAGCGGCCCAATGACGGGGGTATGAACGCTCAGGTAACGGCTCTCTTTTCGATCGATCATTGTTCATGTGCATGCTCCGGTGTAATGTATATGTATAATTATGTGTGGTTGAACTATACCAGTGGCAAAAGGTATATGCCACTGTGCTCTATATTAGGGCACGGGAAAGGAGAATGACGGATGGACCTGCGGTGCTGGTTTTTTAAAAGGGCTAATTAATGGCCCGTCCGGTCAGCGACGAGTGAGTTATACGCGACTTTTTTACCAAAATGGTGGAAGCTCGTTTCTTTGTCTTTTTTTTTTTTTCGGTCTCTTACGAATGAATTCAGGTTTTTTTTTGCGGAAGGAGATTTTAATAATACCTTTGCGCACTGGTCCGGACTCTTGTATTTATTGTCGCGGACAATAAAGTTATTGTCTTGGCACGTTGTTTTTCACCAAATGGGAAAACAAACGAGCTGGAAATTATCTGGAAGCAGGACCGTAACAACATCGCCACGGTAAATTACGATTCAGGGGGGGGGGGCTACAATTGTTGTATCAATGCGTGAGCGAATGCGCGAGAGGAAATCCATTCGTTATCGATAATAATGAACAAATATTGTTCTCAATTATTCGCTTGCAGCGGCAACACTCGGTCATACCCCTGCGCTTTGTTAACGAAACGATTTTCGTACTGAAATTTTTAAATCTAGAATTTAATCTTGCGTGCATTTCTACTGATTACTTTTCGATTGGCAACGAGGATGGAGATGCTCGAATGCACCATTTACATAGCGAAATTTGTTACTTGAAAATCAAAAATCGTGTGGAGAGTTGATTTAAGTTGTAGGAGGTATTCCACGAGGAATAAAATTTTCATCGATCAAAATTCATGGTATTACCGCGTACTACTTATAAACGTCACTCCATCAAGGTTTGGTGTTACGTGTATGACAAATACAAATCCACGTCAAAATATCAATGCCAAATCACGATGTCGATAATACTATTTTTGTACCATTGTGCGCTAGTCACGAGACAATTTTTGTTTTTTCTTCCGGTATCAGAAAAACCCTTGTGCGTACACGCGACAATTGTCACGGTGAAACCCACATTAAAGCCAAATTCAGTTTTAATTACAAAATAAGCCCGTATCAATCGCAGTCACGCGACGAGGTACTCATCTACCATCCACGTCCCGGAGGTGGTTTTTAACTCTCCCACTTGGTCGAGGTCAGCGAAAGATCGGCAACACCAGCAACCCACTGTGACTAAGCGTCCTTGGTCCCATATGATATACAAGTCGGGTCTTGCTTGGTCAGCCAAGAGGTGGGAAAGAACGAGCCATCAATCACCACTCTGCGCATGTACATGTTATCACTAGCACGTTTAGCGCGTATGGCCCAAATCGGGGTTTCTCTGCGTGGAAAATTCATGCGTCGCCATTCAAAGGAACGGATGAATCGTTAATAGACAACCCCCGATCGATCGCGCGAGAGCAGGATTTTCCCGCAGGAAGCATTTTCTCGGGGTAAAAATACCCTCTTTCATAAATTACAGCGACAACTTTATTCCTATCCGTCGACGCGTCTCATGAGTCACACGAGCGCGTGAATAATGCACATACGTATGCGTGGAGGGGTAGAAAAGGTCCCGCCGTGTCTTATCACGTGTACACACGCGCAACAACGCGGATGATCCCCAAGTCTTCGAGCGCATGCATATTTAAAATTACGTCAGAGGGGAGAAGAGCCGTGTGTAATTTTCACTGGGGTCGATACACTTCGGTGGGAAATCCACACACTTGTCGGGGTACTGGTGGCAACGTGCACAAATGTTAATAATGTTCGAGTTGACTCAGGACTTACTCGGGTGACAAAGACGCATTAGATTTCTTTGTTTTTTTTTTTTTTAATTTCTCCAACTTGAAACTCTCCTAAGGTACTGTTGGGCAAGAATCACTTTAGGGCCAATAAAATGAATATGAATTAGTTTGTTGATACAAGAAAATACCTTTCATAATTCAAAGCAATACTTACAAATGAGTGTAAAAAAGAAACCCTCTTACGTTATACGAATAATACCAAGAAATTCACGCTGCTACAGTCACGAATACAAGTGAAAATTGATTCGTGTAAAAAATATAGGTGCATTCAGCACAATAGTATAAAAATGTCTGAGTGTTGTACGCGATCGATGCTGCGCACGTACTATCGTTACCGCTTATTCTTATTTTTTGAAAGACACCGCAACGAGGAGTACGTTTCGCTCAGCTTGTATACAAATATTGCGTGTCGTTACTCAAATTGATACTTGGCACTTCTAGAATCATTTTCATTTTTGAAGTGGATCCTTTGGCACAAACTCCAATAGTATTCCAATACTTATAGTGTTCTGACGTATCATCGGACACAAAAGAGTCTCTCTTTTATACTTTTGAAGATGCACGCTCAGCCGAATCGGTACCTTTTTTCGAGCATTTGTAAAATAAACTCATTATTGGCCCAAAACATAGATGAGTTGAAACTAATTATTTATTGATGTAAGAAAAATTGCACATGTGACATATTCGTTAATAACCGATGACTCCCCAACAGAGATGGCATTACAACGTCTATACTCTGGTTATTGAAACATTGGAGCGAAAAAGGATGACCTGATCATTTAAATTGTACAAAAGTTTCATCGGGAGTTAAAATCACGTGGGTCCGACAACTATCCACTGTCCAAACATCGAGGCTGGCACGTACATTATGTGTACTCCGAATACACATCGTGACAAAAGGGAGAGAGGAAGAGGAAGAGTCGCAGTGCAGAGCGACCTGATTTTGAACAATTATTATCACCTCTGGGGCCGGCTACTCCTAAATCTTCTTCTCTCCTTTTTTTATCCGGCCTCCCTTTTCAGCCCCCCGGCTGCGACCTTTCGCCGGAAGATTCCCGTGATGCATGAAATTCCTCAGTCCGACCCTTTTTTTTTTTTTTTTTTTTTCCAAGCCCAAACGCATTCACATATATTCATACGAGGGGAAGGCCGCGAGGCGTTAAATTTCCCGTTCGTCGTCTATCGCCTCACCTTTTTTTTTTTTTTCCTTTCATTCTGGTGTTTTTATCCCGAGAACGAGCGCACATTTGCACCAATACGCGGACCCGCCCCATACGAAAGACGAAGTGTGCGTGGGAGGAGCTTTCGGCGAAATACGAGAGCTACCCTTCGCCGCGCTCGTGTTTTGTGGTTACCTCTATTCCACTCTATCTCTATCTCACTCTCTTTTACTCTTTTTTTTTTTCCTCTTTGGGGCGATTCTTTTGTACGTAAGTACTCTCTGAACTCAAAATAGTAAAAAAAAGTCACTATTATTCACACAATATATTCAAGTTACAAGTATTAAAATAGGGAAATAGTAATAATGTTTTTTTTTTCTCGCAAAAATAAGAATTTTAAATTGACAAAACAAAAAAGTAGAAATGTAAACATACAAGGGACTTATTGTTCACATTGGAATGAACACCTTATAGTGGTCACAACTTTTTTGTAGTACTGCGTGAAATTTGTTATGTTTGTACTATAGTTAACGGCGTAATTTATTTACTGTGCCTTGCACACTGAAACATCCTCTAGCAAACAATGATATTATTATGACAAATTGCTGTTGTTTTTTTTATAATACTGTATACTTTGGAGCAGTACCTGGAATAGTTTTTGATTATTTTATTTAAGGAGTGAAACTAAATCACACGAAATCAAATGAAGGTACTGTACTACGCATTATAAATTATCAACCAACTTTTGGGCACCATTTTTTACGGACAGTTTTGTTAAAAAAGAGTTTTAACTATTACGAATAAATAAACCGTTACTTATTTTAAGGGTACCACTTTTACTATTTTTTAAATTTGCATACTATCCTTTAAAAATACTGACGCTTCAACATTTTAAAGAATAGACAATTTCTTTCTTCTAGTATCAGTGCCTGTTTATTCGATACTTTCTTGGTCCAGATAGATCAGGTAATTTTTTCGCAGCAGAAAAATCCAAAGTGATGAGTTTGAATGATGAAAAAAATATCATAGGTGAAATAAATACAAAAAAAAAATTATTTGTTTTTTAAAAGCTAAAAGCCTAATAGATACTCGGCAGAAATATGTATAAAATATTGTAAAAGGGTGAATCTTATACATCGGTATACGAGAAAGCTTCTTAGTCTAGAAAAGCTTCATTGTACGTTTGAGAAAAAGTATTTTCTACACAAACGCAAGCTGTGCATTAATTTCCATTGAGGTCTGTCTTCCAAGCAATTGATCAACAACACCACAAAAAAAATCTACAAGTACATTTTTTTGCTAGATCAACCCGACCGAACGCTTATTTGTTTTATTGCGGGACACACGAAACGAATTTTAACCCGTGATATATTTTCCCATAAATTACACGCAAACGGGATTGCCAGATTTCTCCCACATAAGCGCGTCAATCAAACTGAAAAGCCCATCCAACCGTTTGAAAACGATTGTATTAAATTGCTTCGTAATAGTACTACAGTTGGAAATTGATACAAACGGTCTGGCTTTTCGCGCCATTTTTTTCATCCCTAATGACAAACACCCGCACTCTGTGCGAACAATGAATGTGTCTTTACTTTGAAACAAACGTTTGTGGAACTGAAAATTTATGTTTGGTTATTTGTTTTTCATCGTTGATGAACTCTAGCGAGCCTTTATCGTTTCTTGTACGGTAGATGATTCAGAAGAGTTTAAAAATTCGTAATTATTCGTACGCTTAGTGATAGGTAATAAGCTGTGGAGCTTCCGTAAGACAAAATAAAATTTTGAAGAATATCGTCTTGGTCTAGGAAATGTCAAAATTTGATGTATTGTCTTGGCCTTGTCTTAGTACTACTTAAGTTGACTCGATTTCGTCTTGAATTGTTTTGTTTTTCCGTCGATTGATATCGATTCTCTATAATTCAAATTGAAAGATTAGTTTAAAACGTGGACAATAAAATCCAACTGTATCTTTATAATAACAAATCTGTTTTTTCCAATTCCCTGTTATATCAATATAACAACAGTAAGTTTCTAATAGTTTGTTTAACAGCTAAATTCATCTCAAATGATTTCAATAAAATAAGGAATCCATTTCATTTTTAGCTTAACTTGTTTAATCATTAGTTCAATGATAAATCATTACAAAGATATATTTCTGTTACAAACTCTTGTTTTACTACCCAATTAGTATTTGTCTAATTCCTCTATTTATTATAAAAATTATCATTTATTTTGCCCTAGCATCGTTTGGGGAGATGAAATGGTTTTAGTTTTAACAAAAATGTTTTTTGCATCAATTTTTCTTGTCTGTATTGTACTGTATTGTAAGTCTTAAATTCAATGAAAAAAAAAAAAAAAAAACTATTAAAGTCATTAAAAGACACACGACGTTACCCTGAGTTTTAAAAATCATGTAATGAATTGTAAGTAATTAGAAATCATACAATAACTTTTAAGTTATTCGGAGTAACGAAAAGATCGAAAATATTTCAAAGTCTTTCTGTTCTCTGTGAATCCACTCAACGTAAAACTAAAAGAGCAGAGCACCAAAAAATAACAAAATATAAGGATACAGGTGCATGGAAGCTTGCGGAAACCCTCCAAGGACAAGTGCTTTTAGTCGATCCAGAGTATACGTTTCATACGGCAATCTCGCGTGATTAGCCCGAAGCCATTAATCTCTCGAGTACGGCACGCAGGTACATGCCGGAAATTACGCACGTAAAGCGGTGGGGGAGGCTCACCTCGCCGTGGTGTATCTTATCGTACCCTATAACGCCGCGCCAGCCATCCTGGCATTATGACATGAGGAACAGGAGCGGGGGGGATAGGAACAACTTAGCCGTGTAATTAGGATATACTTCCAAGTATTCTATGCTAGAGGAAAGAGAAAGCATTTCTTTTTTTCTTACCACAAAAAGTATTTATATGGACGAAAAGCTCTCGAGAGCTCGCAAAACTTCTCCCGGCGCCGTTCCATTTTTCCATTCTTCACGATATTTCCATTATTATTTCATTTTTCATGGTATACATTCACACCCCGATATTCCCTCTTCTACCGAAACGGCGGTCTCGTGCGTGTGTTCCAGCTCGTGCGAGGGTGTTTTTTCCCTTGGACTGGAGCTCGAGGGTTCTCGCTGCTCTTTTCTTCTCATTAATGCACGTTTTCGTCCGTAGTGCTGATAATCGTGGATATTTTCCTGCTGGTAATAAAAAAAACGCATTCCATTCGAGCCCGAATGTAACGAGCTAATATTGTTTGTTTGTTCGTACTTGGGGATCAAAATGTGGATAATATCGTAATTAGCAGAAATAATATCTTAAGCGCTGATGTGGTGTTTTCTTTATTTTCATAGAGTTTTTGAAAAATTGTACTGATGAATCATAGTGAACTGATTTAGCACTTTTTTTCCGATTGATTGGAGACCTTGGTATAGGTTCTCTGGCAACGTTGAGTCCCTTTTGCATTTTTATTTGTCCCTCATGCGTTTATGAGCACATTGACAGATTGAAAGTTGCGAAGCAAATCAAAATACAAAATGAAGATTTTACTACTCACCTGAAGGAAAAAAGGATTTTTGTAAAAGTGCATTTGGCTTAGCAACACCTTTTTCATTCTATCTGGCCATATAGGATGCTACAAAATAAAATAAAAGACAAAGCTTCAACTATTAGTATCTGTGAGAGAAAAAAATTCCTTTTATACGAATGTACATAGCTTTTAAGTTTCACCCTTCAAAATGCACGAGCTACAAAAAAAGGAGTGGTTATACATATAGTTCATTTTACCCTAGTGATAAAGGAGGGTGGGCGTGTTCGAGCATAGTAAAAACAAACGCTCGTTAGAAAAAACAATCTATAGCTAATAGAGGCAATAAAAATTATTGAATTTTATTGTTTCCATTTCCAATGTTGAATTGAGTTTTCTTCAACATTACAAAAAATCATATAGATTCCATGGCTCGTTATTTAACCTAACAAAATGTTTTTAAGTAATCGTAATGTGGTGCCACTGGCTATGATTACCCCTCTGGTAGGGTTAACTGGGTGAAGAGGTGGGGCCATTTAACACGTGCAGATTGTACTTGTATCGATGATTGAAACAGCAAAGTTGTATGTTTTTCAATATAAATTAAACAAATATTTAAATGAAAAACACGTTATTATTTGTATGAAGGTTTCGATCAGTACTGATTATTTTAAATCACAAAAACAAGGTTTTTGTTGTATAAATCTTGACTATTTGTTGTGGTGTTTTGGTTTTAGCGCACTTAAATTTAAGTAAGAAATAATAGTCTTCATCTCTATAATATACATTATACATAGTTAATATCAACATCATAATTACCCGTGCAGCAGTCAGTAAGTATATAGTTTGAAACTCAAGAATTTTTTTTATGTTCGTTATCGTTTGGATTTCATACTTCTTATTGTAATTGTTATGGTTTTTCTTCGATGAATGATTTATAATTTTATTGCGTTTAAATATCACATTCGAGAAATAGCCAATACCCATTTTCTCCACAAACCCATGTTGCCCCACGTTCCCCTACTCAACATACCCCCCCCCCTAAATACCCGATGTATTCTCGAAACACCATCCGCATGCGCGTATTATACCGCATACACACCCGAGCAATTACCGTAGAATTCAATCCAACGAGACTGTTCAAATATTCATTGCATGCGGTATATACTGAGATGGCTTGACTTAATTATATCCCACCTTCCGCGTAAAGACGTGAATATTTCAGCACCGGGGGGAGAGAGGGGGGGGGCACGCGCTCCTGCGAAACACCCCTGCGCTCACAACTGATATACGTCGTTTTGTCGATTTCGCTGGTTGAAGATTGTTCGAGCCAACAAATTTACAAGCGGTTGAATCGGCAAAGAAAGGGAAATTAGAGTCGTCGTGATTTAACTGCAGCTGCACCCGGATGCAAAATTAATTCGCGAAAGCGGCGGTGGCTACGAGGGATGGGGAGGAAAGACTTTGGGAGCGACTTTCTATTATGATAATTGAATTTCAAATGCACGAGAATTATCATACAAAGTAAAATAACTTTTCGAAAGATGAACCGTGGCTGGATGCCGGGGGCCGGAGCGCGAAATGAAATTTTGAGGGTGCGGGCTGCGTTTGTAAGGTGCAGCGGGGGAAAGGAAGTTTTTGCGCTCGCCTTGATGTATTTCCTCGTAATGTAAAAGGTACAAATGATGCACAGCGATTGAGAGTCGGGAGTCGTTTGGACGGAGCAAAAGGGCTTTTTTTTACCGTGGATGGAGATTTTTAATCAATTAGTTCATTTTGGATTGCGTTGCTGATTAAGATTTAAATCAGGGTGTATACATTTAATTGACATTTTTGTACTTGATTATGAATTGAAAGTCACTTCTGATGATGAAAAGCAAATTTAGAAGAGAAAAATTTGTTGGGTTTATTATCGCACCTTTAGGTGTTACGTTGGTGGACTGAGACTGAGAAATTTGATACTTTGTTCGTGATTGACGATGCTAATTATTGAGCATTGAAGAGTTCTTAAGATAAAGTACTAGAACAGAAAATATACTCGTATGCATACGTAGTATTGTACGTTTTTTAGTGAAAAATCATTTTTTAAAAAAGAGAAATTGAACATTATTTAATAAATTTGTTGTTGTGAATGTGTATCTTTTAATGGCAATTGTTTCCAGAACCTATTGCTTGCGGAATGTAATATGGATAAATATTCGTTAACTAAAGAAAACTATAATAGCTATGTAGAAAAAGATACCTCATACGTTTGTATAGTGTTTATTTTATTTTTTATTTAATAAAAAATGCATCCTAAAACTTTGTTATTCGCCAAAAATAGTTTACATATTTTTATTAAGTTCATATTAGTATTAGAAATTAAAGAATAAGGTAACAAATCTACAAGTTTTCAATTGCAAAACAAATTGTAGCTGTCGAAAAATGGTTTTTCCACTTCAAAATAATGTTGGTCGTTAGTAGCGTTAGATTGACATTTTTCTGTCGAAAACCCACAACATTTGTCAAATACTGCTGAACATCACCATGATCTATTGTCTCATTACAATTACTGGCACATTCATGTGAAACATGCACTACTAAGCATATGGGGTTACTATTGTCCGCGAATTGGATGATGCTTTTTATCAGATTGCAAAAGAAATACCATGGCAATACCACGGCTGTTGATAGTGTTGTTGGTACAAACATGAGCTGCATTTGCTCAGGAATTAAGAAGATCAGTGATAACAAAAAAAATATTGAAATTTCTGTGTTAGGTTGTTAGACAGATTGTGTTAAATTTTTAGAGTAATTGCAAGTGAAAAAAGACTGTTTTGTATTTTGAAAAATTAATAACAGACTTTCATCGAAAACAAGTAGCATAGTCTTACTAGGCAAACAATTTTAAAAAGTAGTTATACTAAGCTTGATAAGTGACAATTCAAAAATGATCGTAAGTCATATTATTTGATTTAAAAGAACCGATAAAACAAAAACTGCATTGGTCAAAGGTTGATTACGTAAAGTTTCTAATCTGTCTCATATACATTTTTATTAAATAAATTTATTGAATTTCATTAAACCTATTTATTCATAAGTAACCTTCAAATACACAGCCATCAAAAAATAATTCTTCATATAAATAGCAGCAAAAACAACGCATAAGTAAGACAAAGTACATACGATTGCAAAGACGAAAAAGGAAATGAAAAAATGCATGAAAACGAACAGTTGAATGATAAATCTTAATGAGTATAAAGGGTTCATAAAAATGTTTACGAGTAATTTTAATGCTGCCATGGTCATTATTAATAATAAGAGAAGAACGTCATCTATTATTAATAGAATGCTTAAGTAACATTTTTCTTTTACGAGTTAAAAACATTTTGAACACTGTAATTTTAATCTGTATTCTATAGCATGAAAATTTTTTTCAACAGTTATCAAAATGAGGTATCAATTAAGACAATCCGTTGAAACAATTGATCCATTTCCACTGCGTGGTACAAAAACATCTAACCATGTCACTACAGACAGTTTTGGCAGCCAAAGTCTTACTGATTGCACAGTCGATGAAATCTCTGTAATATGAGATCCTCACATAGACTGACGGCATGATGTTGTCGTCACAGTCATCATCACCACCAGATAATATTCCGATAAGGGTATCTTCCCCATTCATTTTTAATACAAGAGGGCCTCCGCTATCACCCTAATCACAGAGATAAACAAACATTTTTTTTAGCCCAATTCATTAATACATCGCAAAAAAATAAATAGTTTTACGAACTTAATCACGTTAACATACTAAGCTTTGGTGTGTAAGTCATGTCAAAGATTAAATTAACTTTTATTTGTGTTATGTTATCAGGCTACGTCATTTAATTTCATGGAGTACATTAAACTATTGCGATATGTGTGAGTATTTTGTACTGAAAATTGTATGTCTTAGCGTGTTAAAGAAATGTGTATGAAAGTGTTCTGCAACTTTGGAAGAATTTTGAAACTAAAATTTTTTTTTTTTCTCGTCATTAAATCTAAACTTAAAATAATAGTTACCTGACAAGTGCCTTTAGACAAAGTTCCTTCAGATCGCTCCAACTGAGAGCAAAAAAATCTTTTCACGTGATTATACGTATAATATGTCATTAAACATTCCTCTGATGGCAAAACAATTGCTCTTGAAAAGTATAAATTCCCAGATAGTTCGGCAGCCTTACCATTGAAATGACCGTCCCAATCATCAGTAGGTTTTGAGTTTGCACCAAAACCAGTAAAAATTGGTTTGGTATCAACATACGATTCCAAATCAGCATCAACAAAAGGTTCTGGTAATTTAACTTTGCCAATAAAATAATCGTCTATTGGTATTCTTATGTTCAGCTAGTAAAGATAAAAACTTAGAACTCATTCAAAACTCATTTTATTCCAACTAGATGATATAGTACTCCTGAAACATCTACTTTACTAAACTCAGTGCAAGAAAAAAATGAAAAAAAAAACAATAACTGTGTTATTGATTTATTGTAGCTACCCAGAATGCAGACTTGGTTAGTAATTGTTTAGATGCTGAGTTCAATTCTACCAAAATTAAAAAAAAATGTAAGCAGAAAGTCTAGCTGCATGCCTACTTATGATCTAGTTATATATTTGAGCCACTCAAAATTTTGTGGAAGTTGATGTTTCAGAGGTTCTTTATTTATTTTTTTTTTTTTTTTGTTCTTTAATAAAAAAGACAGTAGATAAATAATGTATGTACCTTGATTACAGCAATGTCATTCTCAAAACTTTTTTCTGGATGGAAGTTTTTGTGCAAGTATACCACTACAGCCTTGGCTTCCAATCTAGATACACAGTTTTTGATGAAATTGTGTGCCCCGACTACAATTCGGACATTTTTATTCTCAAACTGTCCTAGTTCATTTGCGACACAATGAGCAGCGGTTATGATATGCCGTTCATTAATAATGACACCGTTACACAAATCATTAGAAATACTAACGTAAGCATGATAAGGATAGCTGGTAATTTCTGTTAGTTCACCCCCAATGATATTTTCATTTGTGAGTGTTTGAACTGTGGAAAAAATTATTTAATGAAATTAAATATGAAGTTGTACATAAAGTAGTAAGTGTGACACTATCAAGCCAAAATGTTATTTTTAATTGTACGTCTCATGAGTATAGTCTTTAATAAATTATAGTATGGAGGTAGCCAATTACGTATATCGATTAGTTCCTTACGTTTGCTTTTCAGGAAAATTACGTGCTAATGATGAGTAAAATAAAAAAGTAACTCATTTTGCATATCCATAACCTCACCTTTATGGCCTAAGAACACGATTAAAATACTAAAATTCAATAAACTATAATTACACATTTTACAACAGTAACATTGTAATAATCGTCAAAAGTATACTTCAAGAAATATCGTTATGTTACATTTTATACCTGAAAAACATACGTAATTCAATCGTTATCAAAATAATCTGCAGAATCACTTGTATGCCAATTTGTATTACATACTCTTCGGTATTGACATATGATAACAGATAACTAATCTTTTTCTGGAGTAACAGGTATTTAAACATTAAAAAAGTAGTCCATTAATGTATAAGCATCCATAAGTATTCAAAGCTTCGCAAGTTCATCTGACTTATAAAATACTGATCAATCGATCAGCTGAGACGTTCAAAGCTCATGGCAGGTGTATATTTTGATTTAAAATTATTATTGCACAGTGGCTTCCATTTTGAATCCATTTGGAGAATACTTTTAACTTCTTTACAGTCACCACGAATCTTGAATTTAACTATAAGTGAACCGTGTAACAGCAATGATGAAGGAAATTTCCACATTGAGGATAAATAATAGTTCTGGCTAGTTATACTTAAGTCGATGTCCAAGTTATTTTGAAATCATTTCATTGTACAGCGTAAGCGAAAATAGTTGCTTACGTAACACAAGTGACATGAGTTTCGGGCATTGGCCAATAGTCTGACGTTATCACACGAGTGTTGGAATTGTTTTGTCAGGACTTTGTCACCCTCAAGTTCTTGTCGACCTGCCTTGACAGATTTTTCCTTTTACTTGCTGAAACACTTAAAAACTCCCTCACTAAATGATAAACAAGGTGGTTTTGTTTCCTTTTCCGATAAAGGAGAATCGTATCCACTGCATTCAGTCATATACAAGCCAGGCCCTCTTATACACCCAACAACCGTATCGTTACACACACTGGTCACGAGAGTCCAATCGCGTTCCGTCCATCGAGCTCCGCCGGATAAATTCCAGAGGTGGTAAAGGAACGCCAGTGGCAGTACAGATACTCACTGCACTGATGGTACACACACGCCCTGTAATAATGACCGGGTGCACTTTCGTACTGACTTCAATGTCCGGGCACGAACCATGCGTATGCGTGAGTGTGGGTGTGTACGCGCAGACTCCACGCAGTCGAACGCTTTGCAGATGAGCATCGAGGCATTTAACTGGCTTTAATTGAATACGCACAGGGAGAAGGGGGACAGTGTGTACGGCAAGGGAGGGGCAGGGGAGGGTAGGGGAGACAGTATCCCGAATGGCCATACTATAATCTCTCATTGTTACGCGAGCCGACCGATATCAATTAATGGCCTTTTCACTGTGACAACGGTAGGAAAGGGGGGATGGCTACGGAGCCCATCAGTCGGTGGTAACGGTGGCCATGGGAAGCTACCGCGGTTACCTCGTAACAATTTCGTTCGGAATGAAAATTGGCTACTTAGTGGCTAGGTATTGGAAAAGGGAAGGGTGGCGATGACTGGCGCGTGTGGTTCTCCTCTCTTCCACCCTCTATGTATACACAGCCAATGGATATGAGACTGGTTTACGACTTTGATATTCTTCCTGTCTCTCTCTCTCTCTCTCTCTTGGTCATATTCGTGACTTCTGGTAAGTCATGATTCGCGTACGTGATGTTCGTACTACTAGAGGATTAAGTGTCCCGTTCATCAAATTATTGTAATGTGTATACCTTTCTGATTGGTTGTAAGTGTGTTTGTATGCTCATATTTCGAGTGGTTGAAAATAATTGAATTGTTACTCTCACTATTAAAAACAGTTAAAAATAGTTGAATTTTTACTCTAGCTATTTTAACAGTAGAGAATAGTAGTGAGTTATGTTAACTATTTATTTAGTAACAATGGCTAATTAATTAATTAGAAAAAAATTTCTTGTAAAATAAATAGCTACTTAAAAAAAAAGAGTATGTTCTGATTGAATAGGTGTAATTCACAGGTCAGGTGTCACGATCAAAGAATACTATAAAATCTACTATTTGTCAAACATAAATTTATTGCAATTATTTATGAGAGGCAGTGCCATAGAAGCACATGTGACAATAATTGATCTGACGTCAACCGAATAGGTTGGTTTGGACCACTATTTCATTATTTTACGGTAACTAAAGAATTCACAGTTGTTTCAACTAATGTAAGTTAGTTACTTTTTTCGTTAGGTCAACTAATAAATTTGGTGGTGCATTGCTAATAATTATTAACTTATTGTATCGAACAAACTTTTTGCAAATAATCTTGCACGCGCAGGGTTAAAAAGAAAGTACTTGTAAAAAACATAAAACATCCATGCTGCATGAATTCGAAAATATATTTTGTACTAAACATTTAAGAGCTATATTTTTCTCCCTTAATACGATTAGAGTAAGCCTCTAATAAATTCTCATTTTTCTTCGTAAACTAGAAGCTGGAAACAAGTTAATTAGTGTCATAAATCGAATTTATTTTTATCTTCTTGATAATTATGATATATATTATAAATCATTCATGGAAACTTTTTTATTTGCAACAACATGGTAAATTTTTCTGATACATACAAAAAGTATGAAAAAAATTTGAATTTTAAAACTTAAAAACTAGGTCACACAAGTGTCACTTTATGTGCAAACAGATAATAAAAACACATGCATTGGATAATTTAATTCCACCATAAGTTAAACAAGTAAAATTATTTTAATTAGATTAATTAACGCATTATTCTCATTATCTTGTCTTATTTAAAAGAAAAAATTATAAATTGATACATTATTAAAATGCAGAACTCTACAATTTGTATAAATGCTTTAAAATACTTATAATAGCTCATAAAAATCAAACGAGAAACAATGTTGTCTCAATCATACGGTTCAGACAAAATAATAATTCCTAACCAAATAGTAGAAATGATTCAGAAACAGGCATGCATCAACAAAATGTCTCTTGATTGTCACGAACTGCCAAGCAATTTCGATCCCGATGGGGAAATAATTTTTTCCGCCCTCGGGTGGTTTTGGGAGGCTGGTACTTCCTCGGGCGAAAAAGCAGTTTTCCGGAACTCGTTCGAAAAGTCTCCTTTACGAACCTCGTTACGTCCCTCGCCTTCGGCTCGGGCCGCAAACCTCTCGGTTCGCAAACAAAGACTTTTCAAACTCGTAGGAAAACTACTATTCCTATATTATGTGTTTTTTAAGTTATAATAAAAGTATATCATTTTAAAAATTTCTATTTGGAATGACGTAATGCATTACATCTCAACACTATACATTAAATAGCCTTTTTTTTCAAAGACTTGTTGGATGTAGTTTTGGTTCACAATTTTTCAATTTACTCCGACTATTCTTTCTTCATACCTATTTTCATGCTCAACTATTGTTTTTCAAGATGTAAATTGTCTAAGATATTTATTATTAGATTATCTTGAGCAATAAAATATTTTTTCAACTTTATTTAAGAAAATATCTTTCATTACCATAACGCAGCCTTGCTTAAATATATTCATTTGAAATATCAAAAGTATTGAAAACAAACAAAACGACCAAACCACACAAAATATTTATTTATTCATTAATTTTTTTAGATTCTATTTTTTCATTACATTTTTCAATTCTTTCATACTCCATTTTTATAAGTTTGTGACCATGCAGTTGTATTCTGCAAATCCACACTTGACCTCTAGTTGTATCATACCAAAGTTAGTCCAGTGGCTGTTGAGAAGGAAGACAAAAGAGGGAAATCTCGGGTAATGCTCATCATTGGCCACCCATGGGTCATAATCTCAGACCAGTTGAGCCCTAATGCTCCTTCACATCAACACTTCCGTGTCGTTGATGGGGTGAGAATGATGCGACACTTCCGTAATCGGCTTGGTCTTTAACTCGGCACGCAGCTCAAAAACCATGAGGTTGCACTTGAGCTTCCATCAGTGACAAGCTTATGTGCTTTTCTTTCTCGTGAGAAAACGGCAAGAAGGACTTTCGCTAAAAATGTGAAAAAGAAGTTTGGAAGGTTGAACGGGAGTAACGAGGTGTAGTTGAGGGGAAAAGAGGGAAACTTAGCCGAGCAAGTAAAGAAGGAAAATGAAGGGGTGGAGCAAGGTAGTGGTAAATGAGGAGCTGTATCCACAGGTGCTGGTCTAATAAAAATTACCATTTCCTCTGGAATATGGATGAAGGTGCTGTACATATAATTATACACGTTGAGGTCTTTATCAAGCCAAGCGACGGGATTTACACGAGAGCTGAGACCATATTCTCATTAATGCATTTCTTTAGCATTTGTTGGATTTATCATTTTTAAAATAACGTATTTTATTAAAAAAATTTTTTTTTGAGAATTAATTTTGGCTTTTAATGTTTAAGCACAATCGTTTGATGGGTAACAATGTTTTTATAATATACAAATTTAAATGTAACATTTCACCTATAGGCGGCCACATCAATTGAACTCTAATAAACAAACGTCGTGAGCCATTTATTCTGACCATTACTTCTACACGTTGACAGCGAAAAATAGTTTGATAGAAATCACAGATGAAGAAAAAGTTTGGGGCACTTGAACTTAAAAAACTTGAAACACCAACTGCCCTTTTATGTTGATGAGAGTTTCTGTTTTAAGAAAATTTTACATGACTCACTTCTGTCGTGAAATCGTTTTATGTGCTGTGATAATTTTTGTAGCATTTTATACTTCTCATGTGCCTATAACCGTATTTAACTAGTACCTAAAGTTGGTCGGATGGTTTGAAAATTATATCACGTCTATTGCCAAGCTAAATTACGAAGAAAGCCAAGCAATGTATCATATTCGTGTTTTTTACACTGACACCTGGTATGCAAAAGTTCTTTTAATCGTATAATGATAATGCAAAGATCCTCTGCATTATTCAAATCACTGGTTGTACTTTTTTTTTTCCACTGGCTTATTTGGCAACAATTTTGGCAATAGATTGAAAAACCAAAGAATTCGCATATGGCGTGTTTTTGATAATATATACGTATAAAAACCAAGGAACGTTTTCCACTGTAAAACCGCGAAGCAGATAAATCCGTGCGAAGCTTTACAAGC